AGAGGGATAGAGAGTTAGAAACATCGATGAGAGAGGAGACATCGATCAGCTGCCTCCTGCACACTCCCTCCTGGGGATGTGCCCGCAACCCAAGGTACATGCCCTTGACCGGAATCGAACCCTGGGACCCTTGAGTCCGCAGGCTGATGCTCTATCCACTGAGCCAAACTGGTTAGGGCTGAGATCAGATATTTTTAAAAAATAGTCTGGCCCTAGCTGGTTTGGCTCAATGGGTAGAGCGTTGGCCTGCAGACTGAAAGGTCCCAGTTTCGATTCTGGTCAAGGGCACATGTCTGGGTTGTGGGCTTGATCCCAGGTGGGGTGTGTGCAGGAGGCAGCCGATCAGTGATTCTCTCTCATCATTAATGTTTCTATCTCTCTCTCCCTCTCCTTTCCTCTCTGAAATCAATAAAAATATATTTTAAAAAAAATAGTCTGGGCAAGGTAAGGCAGAAAATAAATGTGTTTATTTGCTGCCCCTTCTACAAGTTCCTCCGTGCTATGGATATCCTGTTTACCTCAAATAAACTGACTACACATGGCAAAGATACAGATGATCATATCCTCCATTTTTAAGTTACTCATCTTATTTTCCACCATAAAATTTTTTTTATTGCATCAACATTAAAAATGTTCACCACGTAACTGACTCTGGCTAATGTGCACTAAGCACTTACAAGTCCATAATCACATTTGCTCCTAGGAAATTCTCTGAAGGAGGAAGATAATATTATTATCATCCTTATTTTGCAGATGAGGAAATAGAAGCTCAGAAAGTCTGGGTGACTTTCCCAGAGTCACAAAGCTAGAAAAGGTAGAGTCAGCATGGAACTCAGATAGATGCTCAGTTAAATGCGATGTTCTTTTTGACTCCCCCCCTAAGTTAATCACAGGGAGAAGGCTGTCAGTCGGTCGTCAATACATATATCTATGGGTCACTTAACTGCGCCAGGCATCTGGGATACTGTAATGAATGTGATCTGTCCCTTCCTGAGCTGAAAGAGATACTTACACCCACAAATGCTAAGCATTGCAAGGGATTGTTTTTGGAGAATAAAACACAAGGAACCCCTCCTAGACTGAAGTTGGGTTGGAAGCAGGGGGAGGGGGAGGGTGGGAGCGGATGGGTGTGATGGTGTCATAGACAAGAATTGACCTTGTGAAAATAAAGCTTCCGGACCCTGCCCTTTATTGCTGTTAGCTGTAGCCAAAGACATTCAGGCTTGTTTTATTTTGTGGGATGATTCAGTTATCACACCCATGAGTTCAATTGAATAGTGGGTAGAAAGTCCCATCCCCACCCAGATTACCTTATCTGAGTATGATTCTCATATTAATACTGTAAGGTATTATGTTTTTGTGTGTGTCAAACAGGTTAACAGTTTAGTATTAAAAAACGCTGTTGTTCACCGAAACCGGTTTGGCTCAGTGGATAGAGCATTGGCCTGCGGACTGAAAGGTCCCAGGTTCGATTCCGGTCAAGGGCATGTACCTGGGTTGCAGGCACATCCCCAGTAGGAGATGTGCAGGAGGCAGCTGATCGATGTTTCTCTCTTATCGATGTTTCTAACTCTCTCTATCTTTCTCCCTTCCTCTCTGTAAAAAATCAATAAAATATATCTTTAAAAAAACAAACAAAAAAACGCTGTTGGAACTCCCATTGGAATGTTATCTTGTTGTCTGTCTTGTTCCCTGCCATAAGATTATAATGCAGACACTAAGAGCCTACCTGGGTTCTGCAGTCAGATTGTCTGGGTTCAAATCTGAGATCTTATCTTGTGTAACCTTCAGCAAGACAGTGATTAATGAATGTGAGCCTCCATTTGCTCATCTGTAACATGGGATAGAATAACAATACCTGCTCATAATGTTTTTGTGAGACTGTGATGATATAGTGGTTTAAAACACTTAGAAATAGCACCTGTAT